GTTTAGATGAGCATATGGAGCATGGGCACTGTGGATGGGACAGATGCACGCTGTTTCGTAGGCGAATGAAAAACTAAATGAAACTTCCCTTATCTTGCCATAGTCTTATTTAACTCTGCAACATCCATAAAATTAAACACGCTACTTTCTTTGTTTTTTCCAAAAGAAACGTGATTTATGGATTCTACTTAATGATTTAGGCACTTATTATAAGTACGGAACACGACAACTGATGCTCCAATAATAGCTAACTTGAACACAACATGGTATTCCATCTACTCGTAATGAAAATTATAAGAGCGAATTCCAAGTGGCAAGCATTTGGCCGGAAAAATTATGCTTACTACTTTAACTTACTGCATGGATGCAGTTGGTGGGTAAGACATCTATTAAGAAAATGACGTCAGTTTTATGGAGAAGTTTATATTGTGGACAAAGAAACGAAAACTGTTGATAATTCTACCCGGACTGTCCATTCTCATATTTCATATGTAAATAGCTTGAGGTGAGGAGGATGATATTTTGGGCTTTACCAATTTGCTTGTCGACACTATTCTGCTCAGAATTAGCAGTGGGGCACATATTGATAGCAGACGTCAGTTGCAGATGAGTCAAATGACTGAAAGTGAGGTGGAAGAGGTAGAGAGAGACGGCGCGCTCCTACAGCTATCAACCGAACGAAGAAGGGGCAAATGGGGCCAAGTATGTGGTTGGATTTTTGCCTGAATGAAGTAAGCGGTGCGCATTAAGTTAAGTAAAGAGAAGCCTGAGTTATACTGAATGGAACAAGTGAAGAGCTGCCCTCCACTGCACCACTACAGTCTAATTGGCCTAAATCCGTACACCTGGGAATTCATATCAAAGAAGAGAGTGATATTACCAACCAGTGAAAGAGTGAATGCTTCTTCTTCCTCTAAAAATAAAATAAATTTCACTGTCAAACTGGGTGCATGGTGCTGTAGGAGGTGAAAGATTCCAACGAAAGTGCGTACTTGTGAATGAGTAAGAGGAGCAGTGGTTAGAAATAAGTGAGTGAAGCAGTGGAGGTTTGGCACGATTACGACAATAGGGACTGGAACAATTTGGGAAAGCCAAAAGTGTGTAAAGTGGACAAGGGTGGTGGATGGAGGAATCGCAGGGACGTTTGGAAGCACAGACATCTTGGAGGTCATCCATCACATAATGGATACCTTCAAAAGAGTTGTGATGATGAGAACCCTTATTATTATTGTGGGTCCAAAGTAAAAGCAACTTCACATTGCGACACTTCGATGAGCAACTGCACCACACCTCATCGCTTTGCTTATGCCTTACTCCCTACTACACACTGCAAGTAGTTGGCATAAACACTTTACTGTTGCACTCACTGCCTCCCATTTCATGCACCAAGCAAAAGCCAACCACAACACCAACATTCATTCCAACTTTAATTTTGTTGTTTTTGACAACATATGCAAATGCATTGCTTGCTAAAATGAATTCACCACTGTTTGTGCAGGCGAAGATTTGGCAATGAAAATGGGGGAGTGAAGAGGGAATCAATTCACCTGATGGAACACTGCACACAATGAATGCCAGTATAGAACCAAATGTGAAGGCAGATATCGCGAATGAGTATTCGTCACGTCGAAGAACTCGTTACAAATATGTCACGAGCTATTTATATGAGTGGCTTGCTTTGCGTTATGAAAAATGGACTTTCGTAAACAACTCCTGTGGTGTTTGCCATTGTACACGAAGGCTGACGCATCAAGCAGGATATATAGTTGGTCTTTTAACCAACTGCTCCTTGGCCAATGATTCTAGCCATTTCCGTGCAGTGTGAATGCTGTCGTAATTACGATAATGGAGGTTTCACTTCACTACTCGACAAATGAAATCAATCAACGCATTGAGTGTTTACGTGTATTCAGACAATCGTATCAATGATATAGCAAGAATACAATAGTATTCTGCTTCTGTTGCCACAAGTCTACGAGTAGGTGTTGACATCTTCACACTGACCTGCATGAAGAGCAGAACCCACGTGCTACAAAATAAGTTGCCACTGTTTTGAACTGCGTGACCAATGTCTATGCACACGCGATCCTGATTGCCGGAATTTCCCGGCTGTGCTTGCCCTGATTATCTGGCACTAATCGGTGCTTAGATATACTTATTGGAAGTAACATGTGATTTGTGCATCAAAGCACGAAGGAATTGAAATGGTCGTGAGATGTGTGTGCTCCGTTATGTAAGGAGACAGTGCAGGACAGTGCAGTGTATATGCAATTGTACAATGGGCAACGTACAATTGAGACACGTTATGACGGAAGCGCTTCCAGATAATGACGAATAGTAAGAGTAATATGCCAGCACGGCATTCATTCGACGATGGAGGTGCAAAATGTATTAATCGGCGTGCGACCTTGAAGTGCGAAAGGGGCTACATGCACACTCCAATGCTCCACATTCAGCATCTTTAACCACATGATCCAAATTCAAAATTTGCATTACTCGAGTGATGATAGGCAACAAATACAAAGGATAGCGTACATTTGTTTCCACTTGATGGCCTAAGAGCTGCTTGAATATCGTTGCACATATCAAGCTTCAACACGGTGGAAGCAGTTGCGCATGACCACCTGGACATGCATGATCTCAAATGCTCCACTGTGGTTGAGAATTTACTCTACTCACTGGATTGAATTAGACCTCAAGTCCAAGGTAAGATTCCAAATTAAATCGTGTGAAATGTAAACATCGTGATGCTGGACTCGATTTTCCAATGAAGGAAGTGGGATGAGAAGCTGTTTGCTAGGATGTGCTGGTGTCATTCACCATCGTGCAAAATTGGACCATGTGGTGGCATTGTCACTTGATTTGAACACTACATCACCAGACAATTGTGGCATCTCCATATGATGTGTTGTATGCTGGCGAATATGTGAACACAAGGTTGGATTGAGGCTGCAATCAATGCAGCTGTCGGAATAAATGTGCTTTGTAGAATTTGGACAAGGGAATGTTGTGCGAAATTGTGGTATTGTGATAGAACATGGAATGGAACAATTCGCTAAATGGGTCTCCCCAGCCACCTGGTGCATGCAGTGGCTGCACTACTCCATATGTAAGCCTCGTGAAGGTTCTTTCTTATTTCTAAATACACGCGTCAAAACATGTTACATCTTCCAGTCTCTCCTGCAACGACAATCGCAATGCACTCACCCACACCACCTACAGCTGAAATGGTATCCACTGGAAACCGCTACGACTTCATATTCACAAAGCAGAGTAATCAATCGGTGTATTGCAAGTAGTGTTTGTGATGTGACACGCAACAGGAGCGTCATCTTACATGATAGTTGTCTCAAACAAATTTCCTTGTAGAACTTCCTTATCAAGCATGTCTTGAATAGCCACTTGCAGTTGTGAATCCACTCTAATACCTCTATTCATTTTCACCTAACATCCGAGTGATAGCGACAAAGTGTATCAACAACAACAACAACAAAAAATAATAATCGAGTAGAGCAATATAGATTTTGGCCATTTCTCTCCTCTAGGAAACAAATCTTTGCTAAACTCACCTCCATTTCTCAATAGAAGGCTAGTAAACAGGCATTTGTTCTTCTGGATATGCTGATCACAATTGCTATTGTGCAAAAGGTGTGAGATGCGTGTATCAAATGACCAGAGAATCACAAAACGTGGCACTCTGATAACAACGAAGGTAAGAAAAGTCCTCTGCATGAACAAATATGCAATTGGATCTTGTTCATTTAGCTACTTACTTTGATTTGCTTGCAAAATTACAAGTGTGGAGCATCGGTAACTTCCACTGCTAACGGCCATTTCCCTATGGCAGGCAAGCAGTTGAATGTCTGTTCTCCAAAACGCGCCGGAATATTTAGATGTGATTTGGCACAAATGCGATAGTATTCTGCTCCTGTTGCCACAGGTCTTCATACATGGGTGCTGACATCTTCACACTGACCTGCATGAAGAGCAGAACCCACGTGCTCCAAATTAAAGTGATACTGTTTTGAACTGCTTCGCCAAATACTATGATCTCCAACTTCTACGCTCTAACAATCCTGGTCTCCATCCTACCACCCTTATCAACCAGACAGTCAGGAAGTGAAGACTTCGGGACAAATGCCTAGATTAATGCGGGAAGGGGGGGGAAAACAGAGAGATGTAAGTGGATTGTGTGCACGATCCTCGTGTGTGGCAGGTTGATGTTACCGGAGACCGATTCCACAACTGCAGCACAGTGTATTTAAGAGGTATAGGAAAACAGTGTATGGAAGGAATCGGAGAGATGTGAGTAAGCTCGTGATTTCCAGAACATTTGAGAATTGCAAGCAGCAAATGTCACTGCCAACACGTGGCTGCTTCTGAACGTTTCAGGCTTGTTTACAGAAAGGTCAGTATAAATTGCAGTAGAGTGGACTGCTACTTCCAACTTATTATTGCGTTAACATTTGACTTCACCAAATGCGATTTGACTCGCCCATTTCGCTACCTAATTTGCAAACAATATCTCAGCTAACCCAACCCGTTCGTATATTTTTAATCCATTTAATGGTGAGCACTCAAACATTGCTTCGAGAATAACCGCGTCCAACTCAATATTCCGTAGTAGTGCAGTAGCAACCCAAATTCTCCAAACTAAGTAAGCGATGGCGCCGTATCAGTTTTGTCGTAGAATAAAGTACTTCACTCTTATGAAGACAATAAGCAGTCAATGTTGTACTCATATCTGCTGCGGAAATTTCACGTCTTCTGATATCACAATACTATCCGTGTTTGCGGTGACACGATAATTTAAGGAAAATAATTTTGTGTCAGCACGTAGTGCAAAGACGTAAGTGAAGATGAGGCATTGCATGCAGTTAATGCAAGTGTGTAAAAGGTGACTGAGAGGAGCTGCTGTTGGTTGGGTGGTAGAGGCAGCACCTACGTATCGACTATTGCTATATAAGCAGAGATATATCAAATAGGAGCAGGCAGAAATCAGTCTCGTCATGAAATTCTTCAAAGTTGGTCTTGTGTTGCTACTTATTGCCCTTATGTTTGCCGATGGTAAATCATCACCGAAGGCAAAACGGCCAACTGGCAAACTCGCACCGTCTGGAAAAGTGAATACTGCACCCAAAAGGCCCAAAGTTACACCAGGCAAAGCAAAACCAACACCGGCCGCGCCAGTGGTGACCAGCAGAAAACAGGTGTCCAAAGCTACACCAGGCAAAGCAAAACCAACACCAGCCACTCCAACAGCGACAGCTTCCAAGCTGGTTTCGTCAACCATATCTCCTACTGCACAAACCACCACAGAGGGTCCCATCTCACATATGTCCCTTCTTTCACCATGCACTCCACTTACTCTCTTCAACTCTCTCCTTCTTTTCCTGACTTCATGCATGCTTCTCTAATTCCAAGCAAATTTGACCTGTTCTTTTACTACTTTCCTGCCTTTATTTTCATCAGTTGCTTAGCTGTTCCTGTCATTTGGTTCGAGTTCATTCATTCAATTAAGATTTACTAAATGTTTGTTACTTTTCAGTGTATGAAAATAGCCCGGTCGAAATACTACCGTAATTACCATCTATTGAAATATCCCAAACTATTAAGCAGGTGAATGCGTTAGTCAGGTAGCATTCATTTCGTTCGGCTGATGGTCCGTTTAAGACGGCTAGTCTGCAAAATGAACAATTGCATCGTACAGCCTTATCTAGGCGGTTTCATTGTCGTCGTGATTACGTATACCTCTACCCTACTGTGACCCACGCTGCAATTGGAATATCATAAGTAAATTAAATGGGAGTCTACAACTCTCTTAAAAATTGACCAGATGTGCTAGCTCATTTATTTGGGGCTAAAAGAACCTAAGATATATTTAACAAATGCAAGTTGTGGCTTGTGCATTGATGCAGGACGAAATTAAAAGCATTGTAAATTGTAGCTGGTGGATGCTCAGTTAGGCGTATAGGTGGTGCAGAAAAGTGTATTTCATTTGCCGCTGTAGTTTCGGCTAAGCAAATGTGAGACGTGTTATGAAGGAACCGTGCCCAGATAATGATGAGCTTTAGGAGGAATGTGGTGTTCAATTCAATTGGCAATGTCACTGTGTGGTCTAATTTTGCACGATGGTGAATAATATCAACAT